TGGTTTTTGGTTTTTCAAGACAGGGTTTCTCTGTGTAGCTTTGGTGCCTGTCCTGGATCTTACTCTGTAGACGAGGCTGGCCTCAAACTCACAGAGATCCGCCTGGCTCTGCCTCACAAGTGCTGGGACTAAAGCGCCACCACAGCCCGTTTTTTGTTTTTGTTTTTTAATTAAAACATTTTAAATGCCATATTCTGTAGGTCTTCAAAGTTGCTGACGACATCTATCTATCTAAATATATGTGTGTATGAACTTGAAAACATACCTAACATGACTATAAGTTTGACTGTTATAAAAAGTTTGACTATTATAGATGACTATTAATCTGTACTTCTTAAACATTACAATTTTAAATGAGCTGCAAAAACACAATACCCCAAACAAGAGTAGAAACATACATGCAGTAAAACAAAATTAACGTTAAATGTGTATCAGTAAACCAAAATCCATACCAATGTAAAATATTTTGAGATCAATAGTTGTTTCTGGATTAAAGCAGATTCAATAGTCTACCCTTTTTTCTGTCATTCCTATATCATATCCTCCTTTTTCCTTCAGAAAGAGATCTTTGAATTTAACTATTTTGTTTAGCTTTTTTTTTTTACTATGACCAATAACAACTTATAACCAACCCTCCTTAAATTATAGCAAATATTAATAACTCATCTTTTGTAAATGTGGGCATTGATTTTTTTTCTAGACTGATTCCTGTTGTTTGGGAGTGCTGGCATCTTTGTGGGAACCTTGGGAAAATCAGAATAATAGTTAAGTCTTGGCTGGAGTAGTCTGTGAGGCTAGACCATCTCAGCCAGCACCCTTGAAGCTGCTTTGAATGCAGAACTCTGAGGAGACTGTAATAGAGTCATTTTGAGATGCTGGATCACCTGGGTCATTCATTTCATTGGTGTCTGGTCCCCTTGTTCTGAAAATATATAAACTTTTTTTTTCTTTTCTGTTTTGGAGATAGGGTTTCTCTGTGTAGTTTTGGTGCCTGTCCTGGAACTCGCTCTGCAGACCAGGCTGACCTCAAACTCACTGAGATCCATCTATATGCCTCTGCCTCCTAAGTGCTGGGATTAAAGGCGTGTGCAGCAGCCACTGCTGCCGCCGCCGCCGCCGCCGCCGCCGCCACCGCCGCCACCACCACCTGGCCTGAAAATACATAAACTTTTAAAGATAGCATACATATCTGTATTAATACAAGTATAGACTATGTGTTGTACACAAGTTAGGCAGAGATAATATTTTCTTTTATGTTTGAGCAGGTAAGATATATGTTACACGTTTTGTAGGGTTTTGTTTGTTTTGGTTTTTTTTTTTTTTTGAGGTTTATTTCTTTATGTTTGTA